GTGGCAGAGCTGAGGCTGGGACTCCTGTGTCCATCCAGTGTCCTAGTCCACGCTGACATCAGCCTGTTCTTCCACCACAGAATGAAGTCTGCACCCACATGGAACGCCAGGAGATTCCATCTCTTTTCCAGAGTCAGCGCAGGTTTTAATCCCTCAACAACAGAGCCAAAGCTCAGGGTCGACCGCCATGGGCCCAGGCCTTACTCTTCATCAATTCCAAAGCTGCTGCTGCACCAGACACGCTGTGAGCATTTGTCATGGAGAACATTTCTCTAAGGCCACAAGTCTACTCAGATGGGCAGCCCTTGGCTCACTCTGAAAACAGAAGGGTCAGAGCTGGGAACCATCTCTCCCCCGTAGCCTGCCTTCTAAAGCCATGGGGGAAAATCCTGCAAATAAAGGCAAAAGTGAAGGAGGCAGGGCTCTACCAACAACAGTAAGAGTTAACTCCCAGGGAATCCTTATATTGTAAGGTTTGATGTGCCATGGAATCCACACAGCCCCTACAAGATGGGGATTATTATTACCGCCATTTCACACAGGAGAAAACCGAGGCTCAGAATGGTTTAAAAAAAATAGGTCAAGGACACACAGCTAAGTAACAGAAGAACCAGAAATAAATCCAGCCATCTGGCAACAGTCCACATGCAGGATCGCTCTGCCTCACCTCTATTAGGTCTAGCCAATACCAAGCAGCCCGCTTTCCCTTGCCATCTGTCTGTGTGACGGGGTCTTAGTAATCTCCTCTCTTGCGGGAGCACTTGTGGGAGCATGCACCCACAAACTTGAATCCGAGTTCTCCTGAAAGAGTGCAATCAACTGGGTATTCCAGCATATCCCAAACACCTCAGTCCCCAAACTTGTGTCTTTCAACTAAACAAGGCATTCTACTTACAGCCCTCATTTGTTCTTTTCTGTCACCTAAGGTATTATATACCTACACCAACAGTTCTAGTGACAAAGACCACAAAACATCACTTGACATTTCCTTGAAACCACTCCACAAGGTTCCGTTTGTGGTGTTATTTTCTCTTCCTTTTCAACCCCCTCAACCCCCAAGATCTATGAACACTTGGACTTCAGGGGAAGGAAACACAGATCAAAACAGAAGCTTCAATTGTAACGAAACTGCGGATACAGACAGAGGTGAGAATACCTGTTTCATGACCCTTAAATGAAAGTTTCAAGAGGAGGAAATTGGGCCATCCTTCATCTCATATCACAGAAATCTCTCAAAGGCTGGGCTGTGAGCCTCTCAGTTCCTCATTCCTGTAGAGCACTCAGACACGGCTGTGTCTAAGCAGCATGCAGGAGCAGACCTGTCCCAAGCTGGGTAGCCAGGGAACGGAGGGTGGGGAGTACCCTTGCAAGTCCTCGGAACCCTCAGAGCAGCTCAAGAGAGCCATCGCACAAGCTCGAGGATCCGTGTGGATCCCACGGACAGGCTGCTTAAAGGAAGGAGGGCTTCTTGGTGCCCCATCCCCATGGAACACCCTGGGGACCCCCAAGGTGCACAAGACCCCATACTCCCACTCACAGTTAGTGGTTTGGATATTGGGGGCATTCCTTTTCTCCACTGTGTGGAGAAACAGTATGCAACAGTCCATCTGTGTTGTAGAGCAAGGGTAGGAAACTAAAGTTCTATGTGATAAGCCCAGCAGGCAGGGTGCGAGAAAATGACATACCTTGTATTCCTGTGACATGCAAACACTGCAGAGAAAACAAGACTCTTCATTCCCTCAAGTGAGTATGTGCTTTCCCATTTTTCTTGGAACAAGAGCCTCTCGACCTATTTCTGTTATCCCCTTTTGGACAGACAAATCCACAGAAAGACTGTTCACTATGGGAGAATCACAGGCATGCTGGGGCCCCGCCTCAAGATGGCGGGCATCTCAGGGAGCAGAGAAGACCAGGGGAACCGGGGCATGCTACTCTGCTCCAGGGAGGAGGCTGCTCCAGGCCTGCCTCTGCGAATCCCTGGGCACAGAACAGTTCAATTTCCCAATTTGCAACACCGATTCAGTTTTAATTCTCTGCTGCCCTGGCCTGATAAAACAGCTGATGTATGAACATGGCCCATGCTCTGAGTTCCTAACCAAGGCAGTTGAGAGTAGTCAAAAGACGGCTTGCCTAGAATGACTGACCAAATCGGGTGTGCACTCAGCTGTCTGCAAAAGGCAGTGCGGACAGCACAGAGGCTGGAGAATCATGTAAACGTTATGATCTAACAGATGTGAGTTTGAATCCTGGCTCTACCCTTACTAACTGCAAGGCCTCAAGTGAACCATTAACCAACCTCTCTTAGCTATAATTTCATCTGCAAAATGGGCTAATACCCAACTCTGAGACATGTGTGAGACTTAACAAAACGTGTGTGTGTGAAGACTACCATGAACCCTTCATAAATGCCACATTTCCTTCCCCCATCTCTCTAACGAAACAACTTGGCCAAGTCTTAGCTTCTTTAAATTTCACTGTCCTCATCTGTTGGAAAGGAGAATCATGCTCCAGCAGCTCTGTTCTATCCCCACAGGAAGGCATGAAGTGGGGCAGATGAAAGCAGGGTGCTTAAAAATTAGAGAAGTATGATTGACCTGATTGTCAACATCTTTTCCTTTCATTTCAAGGCCAACAAAGCACTAATTTGCTCCCCTAATGTGTTTCTACCCTTCCATAACGTGATGCAGGGAAAAGACGCAATCACAGGTGTGGTCATTCCTTACAATGGCTATTAGCAATCAACTCCTCAAGGCTGAATCCTCCCCCACCCTCACACAGAAGCCAGGAAACATTATTAGGTCACCGCCTGGTCACGTAAGAGCCCAGCAAGTTTGTTTTTCTCTTTCCATGCTCTTGTTTTAGGGAACTGAGGTAGAAAATAAAGTCACTTTCCAGCTGCAGCTTTCTTTTACCCACACACACACAAAACAGCCACAGGCCAAATGACTCCACTTAAGTATCATCAAGAATTCACTATGACATTTTCCAACTGTAAGGGGATTTTTGTCAGCTCTCCTTTACCCACACCCTGTGAGAAAACTGGGACATGCTTTGGCATTTCCTGCACGGACTGACTGACAGCATCTTTACAACTTCTTTCCACTGGTGGAACCACACCAGCAAGGGCTAGGCTGATCTGGCACTTCAACTTTCAATGACCACAGTATCATCTACTTAATTTTTCTCTTAACAGCAACGAGGCATTAAAGTCCGTTCCGCTGAAGCTACTAAGAAATGTAGGTTTATCTTTCAGGAGTATGCCCCCCCAAATTTTAACAGCCCCCTCACACAATCACCACATTTCCAAATTACTAATCAAGCATGACAGAATGAGTAGGAATTGTATGATAAATCTAGAGGGGAGAGAATGAGCAAGCTGGAGGAATATATAGATACTACTGCCCAGGTCCCTCTCCTTCAAAGCAGTTCTTGGAAAGCAAAAAGAACAGAGCCCAATATTTTAGAAGTCAATTCTTTGCTAAATATTTATACATCATGATACCTGAGGCTAACAAGGTGAAGAGGCCAATACAAACAGATAAGATCTCTTTATCAGGCAATAAGTACATCTCCACTCACCCTGTGATTTTTTTTACAACATATACCTTTTATTGATGTATACCATGCTTCCAGAAGCAAACACAAATCTTTTTTTTTTTTAAGATTTCATTTATTTATGAGAGAGAAAGCGCAGAGAGAGCATGGGAGCGGGGTAGGTATAGAGGGAGAAGCAGCTCCCCGCTGAGCAAGGAGCCCAGGGAGATGGAGGGCTCCATCCTAGGGCTCTGAAATCACGACCTGAGCCAAAGGCAGAAGCTTAACCGACTGAGCCACCTAGGCACCCAGTATACACAAATATCAAGTGAGTAAGTCATGTGTTTATTACTCTGAGCTTTATCTGATGAGCATAACTTGGGAATAAATTTGGGTAGTTCAGGAAAACTGCTAACACATTTTACACAACCTGTCTGTTGGCACAACTCAATCCCCAGCTTGCTAATACCCTTTGTATAAAAAGAGCTGACCCAGCATCCACCTACATCAACTTGATCCCCTCGGCTCTGTCACACTCAGCAACACCCAATGCCTACAGAGAAAAGGAAAAAAAGAAAATAATAAAGCAGCACTGCAGCAGGGAGAAAAAGAAGACTTTTTAATGAGTCTAGAGAGGCAGACTTTACACCTGATTTACAAAGAGTGAGGGTCTGTGGAAGGCCTGCAATCTAGAAACATCAGCAGTGCTTTCCAAACCTACCTTCTGCACAACAAGTTCCACTGGTGGTGATGGTGTTACTTTTAAAGGAAAATGCCAAACATACCAAAGTAGAGACCACAGTGTGAGGAATTCCATACCGTACCCTTCATCCCAGCTAGTGACAACTCGCAGCCAATCTCCTTTGGAACTCCCCCCGACCCCTCACTTTTCCACTAGCAGCGCTTTGCAAAACTAAATTATTTGGAAGCAAATCCTCCACCTGTATTTCAATTTCAGTATGTATTTCTAAAAGATAAGGTTTTTTTAAAAAAAATCATAACACCATTACCAAAAATAACAAAAATAATCTTAATACTATCAACTAACCAGTAAAAAGTCCTTATCAGCTCAATTTTTTATGAACTTTTCCCCTTCAAATCAGGATCCACCCAACGTTCGCACACTGCATTACTATGTCATGTCTCTTCAACAGTGTTTAAACCGCAGGTTCCCCTTGGCCGCGATTCTGAGAGCGGCCAGGCTGATCTCTACTGGCAATTCCCAATAATTCCATACCGCGGATACCACAAAAAGATTCCAGTCTTAGAGGTTCGTCAAAGAAATCAGGCACGTATATTAAGCAGTCGTTTTTACAAATTAAATAAGTTAAAAAAAAATAATCTGAAAAGCAAATGCGAAACGATTTGACCTGAGCAATTATTAGCAATTCTCGGAGCCAAACACTCAGTCACGTGCCCTTTGCTCCTGATCCGTGTAGGTTTATATCTGCACACCCCCGCCTTACCCGAGTCATTTGCACAAGGTGGGGCGAAGCGAGCACATCTCCTGCCAGCGGGACCTTCCTCCGCGGGCTGTGTCCTTGCGGTCGCCTCTGGAATTCCGGGGTTCGGCCCTGCCGCCACCTCCTGGGGCCACCTGCTCAGGTGAGAAAAAGGGAGCTTCAGCCAACCAGTTCCGGAGGGCAGTCCCAGGTTATTGAGGGAGACTTTTGGGCCAGCCAGGACAGAAGAACCAATCCGGACGCCACGGCGTCCGCGAACAAACAGCCCCGCAAAAACCTTGAGGCTTAATCCCAGTGCCCGGCACGCGGGGGCACAGTCCCCAACGACGAAGGGCGAGGAGAGGGGTCGCAGGGTCCGCCCCAATGAACACACGTGCGTCTGTGTCCGTGATTGATTACACCCACCTTTGGGTGCCAGAAGAATGAAACTTACAGACACCATTTCTGAAACGTCACCTATTTTATAATGTTTAAAAAGCTATCTCCACTGGAAACATAGGGTGCGAGTGTCTGGCCTGCCCAGGCCACCGGGTTCCATCCCCGCACCCCGGGGCCCTAGACCCACGACAGCCCGCCAGCGCGAAGGCTACGCGATAACCGCCCCCGCCCCCCAAGCCCAGGAGGTCAGGCTCCGGCGTCTGAAGCTTTCCGCCAAGGGCCCCCGCCCCACTCCACGATCTCTTCAGTGGTAGAGAAACCCCAGCCTCTGAATCCCTGAGAGAAATTCGTCTCCCTCCCTGACGCGCACCGCGCCCGCCCGAGAAGCCGCAGGCAGCGCGGGTGCAGTCGACCGCCCGAAGCCCGAGGCGCGCCAGCAGCGGCGGAACCGCCGGCCCTCGCACTCACCCCGCGCGGCGGGACTCCGGATCGCGCTCCGCGTCCCCGGCGCTGGGCGCGGGACCAGACACCTGCTGCGCCCGGCCCCAGGTGACCGCCGGGAGAGGGGCGGGAGCTCCGCGCGCCGGCCCGGCTCCGCCCCCAGCGCTCCCAGGAGGAGGAGCGGAGTAGCGAGCGTGGCCCCCGGGTCCTCTGTTGGGACCCCGCCACCGCTAGGCCGGCTCCCACCAGGAAGTGCGGGCGTCCGAGCGGGGCAGCCTTTGAGCGCGCACGCCCTGTTGCGCCCCCGGCGGGAGGCTGGCCGGAGGGGCGCCGCCTGCTGGCGGGGGGAAGAAAGGCGATGGAGGAGAGAGAGAGAGCGGTAGCTGCCCGCGGCTCAGGGAGACCTTTTCCGCGTACCCGGCCTTTGAGACCCCAGCCCCAACCCAAGGAACTCCTGTATCTGCAGGGTGGGCGGGGGCCATTGGCAGTTGTCTCCAGATGAAGGTACACACAGGGTAACAGACCTTGAAACATGCATGCCACTAGGCAACCGCCGGTAGGGCACTATGAATTCACTTTTTATATAAAAATCTGCAAATAGCACGTTTGCAAATAATACAATTATATTACATTATCTTTTTTTTCGCCAACAACGGTGCTAAAATGTTGATTTTATCCAGTAAGTATTTGTGGAACACCTACAGCTTGCCAGTCGTTTAAACGTTTAAACGTTTAAAATGTGGCACAATTTCCTCCTCGTTTTCCTTCAGAGCCTTAAACGAGGGGAGTGGCCTGAGCCTTCCTCAATTTCTCAGAGCCTGCGCCGGCTTTACAAGGAGTCTCGGAAACGCCCGCCAGAGGGCGCAAGAAGAACCCGGTGGTAGAAGTAAGTGTACGCCGCAGGGGGAACCGAAGACCTCCCCCGAGAAGAATTCCGGAAGGAGGGGAGAGGTGAACTGTCACGAAGGACTGCAGGGTAGGGGCGCCGGGGTGGCTCAGTGGGTTAAAGCCTGTGCCTTCGGCTCAGTCATGATCCCAGAGTCCTGGGATCAAGCCCCGCATCGGGCTCTCTGCTCGGCGGGGAGTCCACTCCCTCTCCCTCTCGGCCTGCCTCTCTGCCTACTTGTGATCTCTATCAAAAAAAAAAAAAAAAAAAAAAAAAGGACTGCAGGGTTCATTGGGCAGTGCAGTGTTCCAGCCGGGATCCCACCGAGAGCAAAGCCAGAAGCAAAAGGCTGGGCAGGGTGTGCATGTTCGGACCGAGGAATGGCACGTGAATCAGTGTGGCTGAGGAGAGGACGCGAGCTGAGTTGGGGCCGCGGCCGCGGGGGTCAGATGGTGCTCCTGTGAAAAGTAACAGCCGCCATCCGTGGAGTGTACGTAAGACAGGAGCTGGGCACGCATCACTTGAAACGAAGCTCACACCAGCCCTACAAGGCAGGGCTATCACTCCTCCAAGAGCGAACTGAAGACTTGGCCGGCGACAGCGTTGGGACGAGGTGACTCTGAGGCGCTAGCCTCCCGCTAGTCGACACTTTCCAGGCCAGTCCAGCAGCCTGGACTTGTCCTCCGACGCTCCCAGCATCCCCGGATAGCCCCGAGTGCCTGCTGCTCTCCCTCCCTTCCCAAGGCCTTTGTCGGCAACTGCCCTCAGACCCCTCGGGTCTGGAAGAGGTGCCGGACCTCGCGGCTGTGCACATGGGCTCCTTCCCAAGGGGAACCCCGTCTCAGGGGTCTGGGGAGGGACGGAGGCAGAGCCCCAGGTCTCTCCGCCAGCATCTGCTCTCTCCCTCCGTAAGAACAGAGCTGAGCTGAGCCTGGGACCGCTTAGAGCAAAGACTACGTTTCCTTGCCTGTCTAGCAACAATATTCATCGACGGGGTGCCTAGAGCCCCCAGAATCCACTTGACGCAGCAGCACTTCTGAGACGACTAGCCCTCCCCCAGCATCTTTGATCTGTCAGATATTCTTCACGGGGCAGACACTGCGCTCTGCCTTCCTGATATCCGCTTCCCCGACCTTTCTGAGAGAACCCACATTTTGTTCAGGGAGGCAACAGGTGGAGCGGGAAAACGCTCATCTTCCCAGAGGTCCTTGCGAGGCAGTCCCATGACTTGATTCTGGCTGTGGGGATGCAGGAGGAAGTTGCCTAACACATCTGAGATTTTACCTTCCTAATATTGCCTTGGTGTTTCCTTCCGGCTGTGAGGTGCTTGTGAGGTTGGAGGAGGGGCAGCTGTGTTGTGACCGCAGGGCGACACACCAGGGGTGTTGTCTCTAGCAACTGAATACAATCCTAATGGATACTCTATTCTTTCCCAAGAATAAGCGTCAAACATCAATCCTGATTAATACTCTGCCTAATACAGAGTAGTAATAGCAGAAAGAGGAGGACTTTTGGCATGAAATAGTCCAAGTATGAGTTTCAGCTCTTCGGTTTTTTTTGTTTGTTTGTTTGTTTGTTTGTTTTTTAGCTAGCCACTTTGGGCAAATTTGTGAAATTAGATTTTGTAAAATTAGAAGTCATAAAAACACATAAAAACACACACAAAAAAAGAAATGCCCCCAAAACCCCATAAAAACACAAAAAAACCCAGAGGTCATAAAAAGACACAAACATAAAAACACAAAATTAGAAGTCATAAACACACACACAAAATGCAGTGCCTGGCATACAGTGAGTGATTAATAAATGATCATTGAGATATTGGGATGATTCTTATCTAACGGTTTTTAGTCTCCACCAGATGGTACCTGGCCTTCTGTAGATTCAGAATCACGTATTCACTTTCCAGTTTCATCCCTTACACAAGCCTTTTTGCCTATTCAGATCTTAGATGCTTTGTAACAGCAAAGCCAATCCTTAAGTAAAAACCTTCACTTGTCTAGTATCTTGTTTCCTCAATTTCTAGCCTATACCTGCTGTACCAAGAATTGTTTTTTAAAAATAAGAATAGAGAGATACATGCTGGCTCAGTCTGTAGAGCTTGCCACTTTTGATCTGGTCATGAGTTCAAGCCCCACCTTGGGCCTAAAGTTTGCTTAAAAAAATAAATAAAAATTAAAAAATGAAAGAATAGGAACGTGTGTTTTGTAGTGACTAGTCATGAATTACTGGTACCCTAGTTTGACAAATACAGGTGCATATTTGACTCTTTATAAAACAAGAAACTCTAATTTCAATGCTTCTAGGTTTGCATTTTTAATTACCAAACAAAATGTTTTAATGGTCCAAAAACATGTTTTTGTTGAAACTGCATCATATCCCTCTTTGCTGAAGTTGAATAACATTAAAAATGAGTATTATTCACTTAGATTTTTAATTAAAAAATATACATGCTTTCAACTACTACAGGTTTTTTTTTTTTAAGATTTTATTTATTTATTTGACAGAGAGAAAGAGATCACAAGTAGGCAGTGAGGCAGGCAGAAAGAGAGAGGGGAGGAAGCAGGCTCCCTGCTGAGCAGAGAGCCAGATGCGGGGCTCAATCCTAGGACCCTTAGATCATGACCTGAGCTGAAGGCAGAGGCTTAACCCACTGAGCCACCCAGGTGCCCTACTGCAGGTTTTTTCATTTAAATTTTCGGCAGTTAACATACAGTGCAATATTGGTTTCTGGAGTAGAATTCAGTGATTTATCACTTACATACAACACCCAGTGCTCATCATAACAAGTGCCCTCCTTAATTATTTTTTAGTTTTTACTATTATTTTTATTGGGGGGAGGGGCAGAAGGAGAGGGAGAGAGAATCTTAAGCAGGCTGCACACCCAGCATGGAGCCTGTTGCAGGGCTTGGTCTCACAACCCTGAGATCATGACCTGAACTGAAATCAGATGCTTAACTGACTGAGCCACCAGGCACCCTGTAGTTTTTTGGTTTTTTGTTTGTTTGTTTGTTTTTTTAAAGATTTTATTTATTTATTTGACAGATAGAGATCACAAGTAGGCAGAGAGGCAGGCAGGTGAGGGGGATGGTAAGCAGCCTCCCTGCGGAGGGAGTCCGAGGACTCTGGGATCATGACCTGAGCTGAAGGCAGAGGCTTTAACCCACTGAGCCACTCAGGCGCCCCCACCCTGTAGTTTTTAAGTTAAAAAATTACCATAATTTGAGGGGGCGACTGGGTGGCTCAGTGGCTTAAACCTCTGCCTTCAGCTCAGGTCATGATCCCAGGGTCCTGGGATCGAGCCCTGCATTGGGCTCTCTGCTCAGCAGGGAGCCTGCTTCCCCCCTCTCTGCCTGCCTCTGCCTAGTTGTGATCTCTCTCTCTGTCAGGTAAATAAATAAAATCTTTTTAAAAAATTACCATAATTTAACCTGCCTTCTATTACTAGACATTTAGGTTATTTTTAGTTTCTCTCATTACAAACAACATTGCCTTGAATATCTTAATCCCTATACTTGGCCCACGTCTCCCCACTCCACTGCTACCTCCCCATTCTGCCATCTCCAGGCCACCATCCATCTGTTGACTGGATTATTTGAAGAGCCTCCTGAATGGCTCCCTTACCCTGCTTCCTTTCCTCTCTCTTTGCCTGCCTCTCTGCCTACTGGTGATCTCTGTCGGTCAAATAAATAAATAAAATTTATTTAAAAAAAATGTTCTAAAATGTCAGGTCAGATATTATCCCTCTCTGCTCAAAACTTCCCGGGGCTTCCTTCTCGAATTCAGAGAGAAAACCGGTCTCTGCAATGGACTATAAAGCTATACTGTCTGCTCCCAATTCCATTACCTCCCTGAACTATACCCCACTCTGTTCCAGCCATACTAGCTTCCCTGTAGCTTGTCTATTTTTTTATGTGCCGTGTATGCTTTTGCCTCAGGGCCTTTGCACTTGCCATCTCCTCTCTCTTAACTCTCTTCTTCCAAATACCATAAGACTTCATCTTTTACCTCCTTGAAGTCTTTACTCATCGGTGTGTCTTCCCTGGCCACAAATTACTAAATGCCCAATATATCCTGGTTCCCTTTCATTCTCCTTTCCCCTTAGCACTTTTCACCTTCTAACATGCTGTATCTTTGAAGTGTTTACCTTCTTTACTGTCTGTTATGCCTCCATCCTTCTACCTCAAGCTGTGAGCTCTGAGAGGGTAAGGATTTTTGTTGTTGAGAGTAGGGATTTGTTTCGTTTATTGCAGTATCTCTAGCACCTAGCAGTTCTCAGGATAGACTTGTCAAATGAATGAAATATGTAAATAA